CCATAGCTCTCTCTGGTGTGATCTGGCATCTCTGTTCCCTGGACCCATGCATCAGTTAAAGGATCCCAAACATGCACTTCTGATAAGGGATGCCAATAATATCCTCCAATTACATACATGGCTGCTGTGGATCTTCTGGAAAGACCTTTGGGATTGAGGTTCAGGGCATTATATATGAGTGACCTTATCTTACTGTCATTGAGTCGGCATTTTTTTTGCAGGCTTAAAGCTGACCTTAAGTACACATTATCTAAGTCTAATTTGATGCAGCTCAGCACTTCACAGATGTCTTCAATTCTTCCTTCCACGTTGTGTGTCACCCACTTAATGACAGCCTCAATGGCTGCCTCTTCTTTCTGAACATTGAGATTCTCCCTGGAGAGAATATAAGAGAGCTTCTCCTTGCCAATGTCCAGAAACTCTTCCTGCTTCCACACTTCTTCAAACTGCCATAACAATATCCTTCTGGACTCTTTCTCCAGCTCTGAGCAATCGTGATATTCGGCAAAGGAGTGCATCCCAATGCAGTTGTCAGTATCTAAGTGCCTTACCAGAAACTGCTCACAGGCTTTCTTTACTGACACGAACTGGAGCAGGTCTGCAGCCTGGAGTAGGCTTTGGACATTTCTCTTTGTTATCTGGATCTGTGATGTGTATGCATAATTCACGAGAGCTTCCAGTACTGCATGGCTGAGCCCGGGAAGGTTGATCTGATTTTTGGATTTTTCTTTCATATCGGCTGTGAACATGGCTTTAAAATAACTGCTGCAGGCTGCCAGGGCAGCTCTGTGGCAGTGGAAGATGACCCCCGAGGCGCACTGCAGGGTGATGTCGGTGAACAGCCCGTCCAGGTAAAACGCCCGGAACGCCTCCAAGAAGCCGGCGGGGTGCGCGGAGTCCTTGTAGAGGTACGCGTACTCCTCCTGCCCGGCCGCGGCCATCGCCGCGCCCGCAGCTCCCGCCGCTTTGTCCGCGCAGCCCGGCCGCCCTCCGGCTGCGGACCCGCCCGGCACACGGGAGCTCCCAGCCCGCGGCGGCCCCTGACCGTCTTTGGAAGAGCCGCTGCCGGAGGGAGCAGCGGGGCCGCAGAAACAGCTCCTATTTTGGTGTCCCGGCCGCCCCCCCCCGCCAGGCACCCCTCAGCCAGGCCGGCGGGCCCCGGCGCCCAGCCCGGCCCCCGCTCGCCCGCTCGCCTCCGAAAGGTCCGGCCCGAGCCGCTGCCGCCTCCGTCCCGGCGCTCCCCACCCTGGGGCAGGGGTTAAAGGCTGTCAGCGGTGGTGACAGAAGGCCCGGCCGTGTTAGGGACAGGAGCAGATGCCTGGGGAGCGTCACCAGCTCGGTGTCACTCAGCCACACAACAAAGCGAGGGGCCTCGGCGGCCGCTGTTAGCGACCTAAAGCCGCCTCTCGCAGGGCGCCCCGCGCTCCCAGGGCGCCTGGAGGAGCGATACTGGGAAGAGCAGCAAGCTCCAAGGGCTTCCCCATTACCGGAGAGCAGGTGCCGAAAGGGAGCAGCCACAGCTCTCCCCAAACTCCTGAATCTGGCAGGGTGCAAAGGACAGTAATAAATTATGCCCACAAACAGATTCCAACTATAAGTAAATTTTTCAGGAAGAAGGCTATATTGGCTTTTAAAACTCCTGAAAATGTGATTCACAATTTAAGAAGTCTTTTTTTTTTTCTGCTAGCTACACATTTTCTTTATTTGAAACACAGCATCCTCCGGGTTCAAGCAGCTGTGGGCTCTCCATCTCCAGCAGGGTTCGGATTCTTCGCATCCAGCAGCCAGGCTCTCCCTGCCCTACCAGAGCAGGGAGATTGAAAGAACTGCCAGTAATTTCTTCAACCAAAAGGAGGCGAATATTATTAGCTATGTGCCAGCAATACCCAAAAGGAGAAATTTTGATAGTTCCCACTCAACACAGATGAAAAAGCATAATATTTTTCTTTTAATTACTGGTGGTATTTCTGCCACAAAGCAGAACTATGAACTAAGGAAATCCAAACAGGAAAGTGTAAATGGTTGTACTCCTCTGCCATCCTTCCTCCCATGCTAGCCCTGCACCAGGATTCAAAGGGTCAGTAACATGAGACAAAATGATCCAAACAAACAAAAAAACCCACCATACCAAAATTTCCCCACACCTACATACATCTACGCCTTCCTTTTTTTCAACCCCTCTGGATGCATTGTTAGCCCAGAGAACTGGAGTTTGTAGTGTAACCCAGTAATTACAACAGCTCTGCTGTCTGACATGGGCCTGTCCCTCCAGCTACATTATTCCATTTCTTTAGCCAGAAAATTCTCTTGTGCAGCCCAAAGTATCTATACATCCCCATGTCAACAGCTTTGTTTTGGTTGCATTTTCCATTTCATCAGCTTCCTATGGACAAGCAGGAACTTCTTTGAAGTCTTGGCTATTGCACTAGCACACGATTCTAAGGCTAAGTACTCACACAGTCATGGTGCATGACAGCACACCTTTCCCATACAGATATGACTTTTGTTATGCATTTTTTTTCATAACATTTTTCCCTAAGTCATCTCCTTCCCAGAGAGCAAGTCAGGAAGTCAGCAACACTTAGTACTGAACATCCCTTCAAGGAGCTTTTCCCTTTTTTTTGGCTGGGCTCTCAGCTTCAACCAGCTTCACTCTCTGGAGATACTCATCTCCCCTCCATTGTAACCAAACGTGGAAAATTTTGGTAATTGTGGTGCTTCAGAAAAATCCTCACTTCTATTAAGTGGGAAAAAAAAACAAACAAGACCTAATTAATAGCTTAATGGTCTGCCTACTGGAACTCAAAAATTTCTTCTGTCTCCAACATGCACTTTGGCTGGCAAATATCGTCAGCTCTATCCTCTACTTAAAGTGATTAGAACATAATTGCTAATATTTCAAGTACTCTGCATAATTTACTCTCAACTCCTGCTTCAGCACTTTAATCAAAGCCACAGAAAAATCCTTTTTTGAGGATGAAGAACAATTTCTCACCCAATATCTCACTCTCACAGCAAATTACAAGGTAGGTCCCTTAAGGCTAAAACAACAATAGTTAGTGTAAATGGAAGAAAAAGCTGAGTAATCATTGCTATACTACTTTTTGTTTGTTTTTAAGCAAGCTGTAACCAAGATCTGTGGACAAACTGAAAGCAAGCTAGTCCATAACCAAGTTCTGAAAAACACAGATGAGACAGGCACAGAATCTGGAACATTCAGCAGCACATCTAGAACTAAGGAAACATACAACTATCCTGGTTTTGGCTGGGATAGAGTTAATTTCCTTCTTAGTCACTGGTTAGTGCTGTTTTGGATTTACCATGGGAATCATGTTGATAACACACTGCTGTTTTGGTTGTTGCTAAGTGGTGTTTACCCAGAGTCAAGGACTTTTCAGTGTCCCATGCCCTGTCAGTGAGGAGCTCCACAAGGAGCTGGGGGGAGCATGGCCAGGACAGCTGACCTGGCCAGGCCAAAGGGATGTTCCACAGCACGGAGGGCACACCCAGCACAGAAACTGAGGGAGTCGGCTGGGAGGGGCCCATCACTGCTCGGGGGTGGGCTGGGCACCCATCACAGGGTGGGGAGCAGTGCATGATACATCACTTCATTCCTCTCTTTCTCCTTTTCATTACAATTATAGTAATTTAGTACTACTATATTTTATTTTGTTTCAATTATTAAATTGTTCTCATCTCAACTCATGAGGTTTAATTTTTTTCCCCAATTCTCCTCCTCACTCAGTGAGGGATTGGAGTCCACTTAGTTGCCAGCTGGGGTCAAACAATGGCAACAACTTAAAAGCCCAAGTAATATATGAAATTGCCCTTTGCAACAGGGCAATTTCATATATTATCATTCTTTTGTATGACCTGTAAACCACACAACTTAAACCTTCCACAGCCTGAGACCCACCAGTCCTTAGATGTCTTTGTGCCCTTGAGTAAAACAATAGGCCAAGATCCCAAATATGAACATCTCAGACACTTACCAAATATCCATCACTAAAGCCAGGCTCCTGAGAACTGAAGTATATTACTTTGGACATCTTAGGCAACAGAGTGTTCAAAGCAACCTTCTACAATACAATAAAATAGGTGAGGCAAGGAAAGAAGTGCAAAAGGGAAATTAATGTAAACCAGCAGCCTGAAAACAGGAAAGACCACTCAAAAATCTTCAATTAAGGAAAAAGAAGGTAGTGATATCATGAAATGTTGAAAAGAAAATGAGAATAACATTGCACAGAAAACAAAAGAAGACAGATACAGCAACTGCAGGCTGCTGAGCTACTCCTCAGACATCTGCAACTGAGGTACTGTGAAAGTTGGCCTAATCTCTCAGTTATTAAAGCACTTAAGCTAAATATGACCTCAGTTTAATAGCAGACTACATCAGCATTTTGATCCTTTTCTGAGATATGAGAATAAAATCATTTGGCAGGAAAACACATGATTTAACTTTAATGAGACTTAGTTTTAGTTACCTTTATGTGCACCAACACCTGGGGCTTATCTCACTGTCAGTGGTAAAGAGAAAGACTGCATAGTCACAAATAATTCTTTAGAACTACTTAGACAGAACAATCTGTTTAAAAGTTAAAATGGACATTGATGCTTCCTTCCAGACTGTTAAGAGATTGTGCTGTAGATATAAATGAGAATGAATAGGTGAAATCAGTGTATACATGCATATGTATGTTCCATTCTGTGAGCCTGTGCACTGCAGCAGCAACCAAGGAGGAAAAAAAGGCACCTGGCTGACTCAGAGCTGCCAGCATGGAAGATGAAAGCAGAGCCAGCTCTGTACAGAGTGGCAGTAGCACACTGTCAGGGCAGTAGTCAGAATGGGAGAAAGACTTTTCTTTGAACAAAAAAGCAACATCATTACAGCTTTGCAGAGGAGAAAGGGTCTGACCGGCCAAAGGCTGACACCTACACTTGTGTCTACTCTCGCCATGCCTGATGAAACACAGACCAGCAGAATACATGACACAAATTAGTTGTGTTGCATTTGTCAGCGACAGCAACTTTTATTGTCTTTACAATACAAGATAATACAAAGTATTAAAAAGTAATTTTGCTTGGTAAAATAATCGATTGAAAATATAAGTGCATCTTTGGATTAAACAAGATTACAAGCAAATAATTTGCCATGAGATCAGAGAAGCATAAAAGCCAACAGGTCTAGAACCTAGGTGCTCCTGGCACCTAATGTTTTCTAATAAAGAATTTCATTCTTTTGAACAGGAATCCTACTCCTTCCCCTAAGTGTGTGGGATTGCAAGTATATATCAGCTATATACTTGTAAAGGGTTGGAGGGGAGGGAATAGCCAAAAACTAATGACAAGTCCTGTCCCAACACCCCTTCTCCACTTATGTTGGAATCTGTACTGTGTTAGAAGGCCTTTTTTACTGCACTTTCCCATTATCACCAGGATTGAACATAAACAGTTTTATGTTGTGGTTAAAAACCCCATAATTTCAGAAAATAGTCCAATTTTACAATTTTGAGCTTTTATACACATGCAGTTTTTCTCTCCCAATAAGCTAAAATGTAACTGCATCAGTTTCCTTTTATCATTTGAATCATTCCTTTATAAGTAATTTCAGGTAAGACATAATGTCGATTGCAGATGACCAAACCAGAACAGAACACTGTACAGGACTGAGACTTTGGGCCAGTTGAGAAATCCTTTTCTCCAAGGTATACCCCTGCCTGGGCATAGCAATATCATTCTTCTTCAAAAACATTACTGGACATAAGTCATTCCCACCATCACCTATATATATAATTTGTGTATAACTCACTCCTCTCTCCAACTGTTTATCTAGAAATTCTTTTAAAACTTTCCTTTTGCAAAGGTTTTTAGGGCATTTTGCACAATGGTGAGCATGGAAGTGCTGTACAGTAAGATAGCCAGTACTGCTGAATGCTGCAGGGTTTGTAAACACTTCATCAAACACTTTATGGAAGTCAGCAGCTTTCAAAATCCAGTCAATAAATACTGTATTAGAATCTGAAACAATTATACAATCAAACAACTCCTTGTTCTCGCCAATAAATCCCAGAAGATCTATCATTCCCGCAGTGAAAGGAATTGTTGTCATAGTTCTTTTCATCTCATCTTCTTTGACACCATTGTCTCCCAAGTAGACAAAGACTCTGCCCATATATTCTGTCCAATGTCCTGGTTGGTAAGAGTTTCTTAATCCATTAGGAAGTTTTCTTTCAGGAGCACATTTCACAATCCAGGTGTCACTATTTTCATCTATGATTGTATGGTCAAAATCAAAAACCAACAGAAATTTCATAGCTGTGAGAAAATAGTTTCCAAAACAAACAAATAAGAAAATTATTTATATAAACAGAAGTACTATATTTCTACCCTGACGTTGTGTTCAGAAGAGAAAAATTCTGGAAGAAAATATTGGAACAAAATAAACTATTTATGGCCACTACCATGACGGGAAGTTGTGCTGTAGCTAAAAATGCAATTTGTAAATGCCAAAGTTCAGTGTCCAACTTCTGTTTAAAATAGTAACTGTGACAGTATCTAACTCATGCTTACTAATACTTGCTAACACAGCACCAATCTTCCTGTATTCACATACCATCAGTTTGAGCAGACACTAATTTCTCCATCAGCACTCGCCAATGCGACCGAACAGGGATTCTCCTGGCAAAACACCTCAATAGGTGTTTCAAAAGGAAACGATCACCGTCTGTTCAAACAGACGGAACGGGTTCGAACCTTCAACGAGGCCGCGCTAAATCAAGGCAGCCAACGAAACGAAATGCAGCCGTTAGTGGAGCGGAACCTGCCGGCCCCTCCCGGGAGGGTCAGCCCTGCCCCGGGCCCCGCAGCCGGCAGAGCAGCCTGGCCGGCGGGGCCGCAGCCGCTGGAACAGCGCCCGGTGCCGCGGCCCGGCCCGTGAGGGGAAGGGGCAGCGCCGGCCGGCGGGGCCCCGCCCCCCCGCGCGCCGTCACGTGACCGCGCGCCGCCGGTCGCCCGGCAACGGCGCCGCGGCCCGGGAAGATGGCGGCGGCTACGGCGGGGCGGCGGCGGCGGCGCGGCGCCCGTGAGTGCGGCTGCCCCGCGGGCAGCGGGACCCGGCGGGAGGGCAGTGGCGAGCCCGCGGCCGCACGGCTCCGGGAGGCTGGAGGGGTGCCCAGCGAGACTCTCCCCAAAGCTCCCCCGGCTGCAGACGGCAAGAGGGGCTGTTTCTCCCTAGGAACGGAGTGGAGAGAACTGACCTGAACGCAGCGCAGGTCCAGTAACCTCCAGGGGCAGCGGCTGGGGAAGAACGAGGGGCTGGCAGAGTCCTGCCTGCAGGGCGCATCAGTGCGCCTTTACTTCTGCTGAGGCTGTCTTCACCTAGGACAGAGGGAGAGGATCAGGTCCCATCCCTGTCGGGAGACTGATCGGCAACGGCATCTGGAAAACAGAGTTTGACACCGGTGTCACTCTAAGAGAAAGCCTCCTTACCTTTCAGAAATGGCCTGTTAGTCTGCTCAAATCACACAATTTCTACACAACACCAGCCTGTACAGATTGCCACTCCCTTCAAAACGGGTGGTGACACTTGAAAGAGCTTTTCACAAAACCTAGACATCAACTAGAAAAGCTGCATTTACGCCTTCACACGTGTATGTGGGCCTAATGCAACAAAGAAATCTTAGTCTTGCCAACAAATCAAAAACTGATCTACAACAGAACTATTTCAGTAAATATGATGAGCATGCAGGACATGGAAGTAAGGCACAGTCTGTGCTCAAACTGCTGCCTCATCCAGCCAGCAGAATGAATTTAACAATATTCCTCTTCATATTGGGAATGGTCTCTGCTCCCTGCTGTTCTAAGAATCATGCCCAAGTATTGCCAGGGAAGCGTGTTACTACAAGCCAAGCCCACACAGACACACAAACAGGCAAGGGCAGTACTTGGCAGTACAAAGTCCAGGCAGTCAGTGCCTGTCCAAGAAGATGCACTGCTCGTAGGCAGACTACAGATACAGATACCCTGTCTTAGCTCTGGGGTTTGGGGATGGGGGACTAAGTAACACTAAGGATACCTTAGTATTACTACCATGCCAGCATTCAAATTCTGATACACATTTGATTATTGGATTTTCTGGTTAAGTAACTTTCATATTTTATCTTCCCTCTGCACAGCACATCATTGGAAAGAAAAGAATATTCTAGATGAGTATTTCCTTCGAAAAGAAAGAGATCTTCGTCAGGTCATTGTATTGCCAAAAGCACAATGGGAAAGGATTCAAGGCAGCATTAGAGAAGCACCACACATTGATGAGAAAAAAGAACAGGAAGAAGTGGACTTGGACTCCAAAGCTGCTGGAAAAGAAGACCCGCGCAATGCCACTCTGGTAAGTACAAGATACATTTGTACACAAGTTGCTTTTGTATATACAAAACCACACATAGTAACATTTCTAGCTATACTCCCTTTGTTTAACATTTGCTTTTGAATATGTATTTCAGCTAAATGCCATTTTAATATGTTTAACATCTAACTTAAACATTTGTATTTTTTTACCTAAAGCTAAAATGCAAAGTAAAAAACCAATCCAAAATTTAAGTGTGATTTTTAATTTTGTCTGCACTGTAGAACCTGATAAAACAGAAACTTCAAGCCAAAAAATTACGTGAAGAAAAGGAAGAGGAAGAAAGAAAGTTACTTGATTTGGAAGAAGCAAAGTTCCAAGCGGCAAAACGGAAGGAGGTTATTGATCGTGCAAAAACCTACCTATGTTATCAGGATGACAGAATGAGACAGTTCCATGTCTGTTGACAACTCATATATTTTACATTGAAATTGAACTGAATGTCTCTAAGGGCTTCTGAACATAAAAATGACTTTAAATGTTCTCTTGCAGAGTGCACTTCTACTTACTAAGGTCCTAAAAGAAAGAGATGCCCAAGTTGAATTTCTAAAGTCAAGATTAGTTGATAGCAAAAAGAAGGACTATGAAGAAGAGCAACGTCGATTTAAAGAATACATTCTCAGTGAGCAAGAAAAAGCACATCAGCATTATATGAATAAACAGGCACTATGCAAAGATCAGTTACAACAGTAAGTAATAATTAAAAGCAACCCTACTTCATTATTTACTTAAACTCTTCTCAAAATACATTCTATGAGGTTTTTACAAAAAACTTGCTAATAGTTTCACAAATGCCATTCTTTTAAAAGAAGATCACAGAAGATCTTGCCCAAAAGGGAAAAGCTACATGCATTTTTAGTTGCCAACAGTCTGTATGCAAAATTGCCTCTTGGAAGCATCAGCAGGTTTTAGTGAAATCACTGTTCAAATGTTGTTAATGAAATTTAAGTGTACTTTACTCAGTTTTTGTTCCAGACAAGGAAAAGTTTAAATTAGATTTTCCATTTACCCATAATGAGCTTCCAGATTGCACAAGAGAAGGCATTACTGTCATTTCTATTCCTTCTCTCAGGTTTTCTGTAAATCTTATGGAGTGGTATTTATAGGACTGGCCATAGAGATCTGATAAAAGGAATCGAATTTCCCAAGGCAGAGAAAGGGTTCAAAGTCTGGTCTTACATATTCCAGGCACAGCACATAGATCCTTGCAGAACTTAGTACAGAACATTACCAGTTTAAGCTGCTGCCCGCATGCCCAGAAGAAACACAGGTATGGTGGGTCATACTGGGGAAATCTTGTTCTCCAAGGATGCTGCAGATATAGGCCAGAGCATTACCAATGCAGTGGTGCTAAGGAGTCATCCAGCTAAAGCTTCTCACCACGACACTGCAAACTGTGAGCATACCATGCAGCTCATTTCTGACCAGGGTTACCATTACAAACAATCATGCTGTTATTCACCTCTGATATTCTACCTACCTTCAACTCAGAGTATCACATTTTTCACTGCAAGGTACCTATGGTCGTGCAGTTCATTACTTCATGCAGTTCCTAGACAATTTATTCACCTTTGTCTGATTCAGAATAAAGGAGCGTGAGCATCTGGCAGATCTGGCCAAAGAGGAAAAAAAAAGAGAAGAGGAAGAAATACAGAGATCAATCCAACTGTACCAACTGGAAACTCAGAGGAAAAAAGAAAAGGAACACGAGGAAAAACTTGCACGCCGGAAGCTGTATCATGTAAGTAGCAGGAAAACAGACAGTTCAAGATGTGCATTTCACCTTGGCTGTGATGGTTGGACTCAGCCCACAAATAAAGGGATCTACTGGCAACAGGGTCTTTGCTGACAGCTTTAGGAGCCTGGGATCAAATGGCTACCCTGCCAGTTGCAGGCCATGTCTTTCCTCTGTGCTTTTGAGAAAGACCTCTTGGAGGCCCCTCCCTTCTGTTGTCTGAAGGTGCTTTAACTGGTCTATGGTTAAAGATTTTGCTGTAGACATCAAGGAATAGCTCCTTGACTTGAGAACTGGATTTAAGTTTCACATCCCTGCTGTTTTTAAGCCCATTTTTCTTTGTTAGAAAGAGGAAATAGACAGACACTGAATGTATCTTTTTAATTTGACTCGATATTTATGATTGCAGAGGTTTAGTGATTCAGTCAAGACTTGCTACCATCTCATTTCTTCTTCAAAGGCATGCTTCTAAGGTACAAACAAGAACTGCCTCAGAGCAGTTCTGGCCAGCATGCAAAGGACAGTTGTTTTTTTACCTTAAAGTATAGAAAACTCCTCTTCCATTGTGCTTTGGATTAAGCTCTTAGACAGGGGTAGTTTTGGATGAGGTGGGGCCAGGAGCAGAATGATCTGTGTGGGTGGTGGTTGGACCATCCCCCTGGCCCATGTGTGTCAGTGGGAGCATGGACAATGCTCTCTGCATTGCACAGCAATTTGTTTGTGTGATGCACCAGAGAAGCAGCTGTTTGATGCTCAATCTGTTTGATGCTTAATTCCATTCCCCACTCTCACATTGACTGCCTCCTCTTGATGCATGTTTGAATAGGGAGGCAGAAGTAAGTGGAAGTATTCTTTTCTTGTCTTCTCTCTCCTTTCCTGAGGATCCCTTTTCTCTCTTCTGTTTTTGAAAGAAACTTGAGGAGGGGGAACAGGGAGTGATTCCTATAAGCTGCTACCCAAGGTGCAGATATTCCAAACATCATCTGTTACATCAGGACCATTTTGCCCATACAGGCGTATGTAAATGACCAGAAAATAATCAAAGCAATAGAGGAACAAAACCAAATGGAAGAAGATGAGCGGATCAAAGCTCATTTCAAAGCAAAGGAAATTATTGCCCGGATGAGAAAAAAGAAAGAAGCTGAAATGCGTAGGTAGGTGCAATGCTAGAGTATCATATAATCATAATCATAAATGATCTAAAAATTATACTGTAGTTGTTTTCAGATCATTTAGACTAATGATGTAACACAATCAACAGTTATTCTAACACATTATTCTAAATTCTACTCATAGGGAGAACAGGGAATTCAGGAGAAAAAGGAAATTTTTTCACAGGTTCCTTAGGAGCAATCTCACCTTTCAAAGTACAGAGGCTTATGAAAGTGCAAAGCTTTGCACCAGTGTATTGTGAAGAGTGATTTTCATATGGCCTGCCAAATCTCCACCTCCTCAACAATTAAGACAATTAAGATCCTTGATGAAAATATTTTTGAGTATAAGCTATATTTCTCTGAGTCAACTCAAGAAAAATTATTTGACTTCTCAACAAGGCCCAAATATTAATTAACAGCATCATTTTCTTAAGGGGAGATATTTTATCAGTTTAACATTAAGGGTACCACGTGATGATACCACTGAGTCAATCTAAGAGTTTTCTTCCCTTCCTGCTTCTGGCCAACAATCCCCTCCTGATGGCAAGATGCTTGCTGGAATCCTTACTGAGTGATCCAGCTCATTACTGAACAGAAACTAGTGATACAAGAACACTGGGAACATGTATTTGCTAAAGCAGATAATATAAAAATAAACCAAACAGGAGGAACAGAAGGAGATCACGAGTTGGGTGGGTGGGCAAGCCTGTGTGTTCAAGAGGAGAGAGCTCTAGAGCCAGAATTGCTGAGTTTGGTAGCTTCAGGTAGACCCAGATGTGTTGCCCTGGTATGTTATGGAAGCTCATGTTCTTCTGCAGACAGGTACAGGAACAACGGGACAAAATCATTAGTCAATTAGCTGAACAAATGAGTGAGGCATTAAGGAAGGAAGATGGTCGACTGGCTAGAGATGCTGCAAGAATAGAAGCTGAAGAAGAAAAAAAACGCAAAGAGAAAGAAGCAAAACAAAAGGCTGCCCTTGAATCTATTGCTGAACACAGAGCCACTGTGGTAAGAAACTTGGGCTGATCTTACTTCTGCTTATCCCAGCT